CTGCATTGCGATTGACGAATATATGTGTCACTCAACAGCGTCGTGCTTGCATCTCAGCATCAGCATTTTCAACATGATTATATAACGTTGCTGCGCTGTAAATGTTTGAGAAGTGACTGAAGGTGGTGGGGTACGCGACTCGCTTGCCAAACATGTTCATCCGTTATGTATTTTTGACATAGATAGCGACGATTTTCCCGGCCTCGGTATAGGTGCCATTGACAGGGGCGGCTTGACCTCCCGCTGTCGTCACGTAGAGTATGTCTTGATCTATCCATGTTCTTCCAAAGGCAGCTGAAGTTGCGCCCGCAATCAATGTTGAATTAACTCCTCCCGCAACCAAGCTTCGAGTTCCACCGGCATCCACTCTTACCAACGAGTTTTCGCCGTTCTCGGTGATGAACGCGACCCCTTCTTTCGACATTATGAAGTCATCTCCAAACACGTCGGTTGCGAGAATCTCGTATGGCCCGGACGCCTTTCCTGTGGACAGATCGATACGCGTGCGGCAGAATAGCCCTTTGATTGCGTTTACGTAGTACGCGTAGCCCTGGAAGATTCGGATTCCATTGATACCCAGGATGAGAGGTACATTTTGGACCGGCTTCATCGTCATATCCTCCAGTACCACTTCGTACTTTCCAGTCCATATGTTCAAACGCCAGACGACGCCTCGAACCGAGTCTGAGATCAGAACCGTGCCTTCGCGACGATCCAACGCCGTCATACCATTCAAAAAGCTTGCTTCTGGTAGTCTTTCGATTTCTGAGATTTTTTCGCACTCCCCACCACGGTTGAAGTCTATTTGCCATACCGAATAGCTTGCTGGATCTGGTGCGCTTCGAGAAATCGAAAAATTGCCAGCGACGAAGACGAAGATGTCGGGAGCCATCTCCGTGATACCAAGCAAACTGAGAGCGTGGGCCTCGCCTTCGAGGTTTGTAACGAGTGTTGCGGTGTTGTGGAATGGATCGACGTGGTAAAGTTCGGGTCGATCGACAAGTGTGACGAGCAGATTTCCGTTCGAGCGAACGGCGATGTTTTCGACCCAGGTGCCGTTGTCGAACTGGAAAACCAGGTGAGAGGAGGTCTGTAGACTAGGTGGCAGAACAGCAGTGGCTACGGGGCGTGCTCTCAGAGCTGAGGGAAAGAGGAGTGCGAAGAAGATGTTTAGTAGAAGCATTGTGGACTAAGGTTGTGATGACGAGGACATAGCGATACATTCCTCGGGGCTGTATTTGTACGCACGTCGCAGAGATTGTGCCGTCGTCGTCTGAGGACGACTGCTCGATAAACGTTCAGCACTACTGTACAGAGATCCACTCATGACAGAATTTCAAACTAGCCAATCATATCGACTATTCTTCCGCAGATACTGGCATCTAGCGCTAAGCTGTGTAAGGAAGGTGGGACTCTGCAGGACAGTTACGCAGCTGCTTGGATTGAGAGAAGCGCAAGCGCTACAGTAACGACCATACGCGTCGGCTTGGAGCTAGGCAAACGAAAGTACTGAGCATCTACGTGATGTGGGAGGCACTCGGGATGACCTGGAATGAACGACTCGGGATAGCAACAGAAGACCTGGAGCAATCACGTAAGCCACTAGTGATGCACAACAGACCACTCAGGACTGCAGATACGCCTTATCCAGAGTCTGTTGTCACTGGGGTGATTTGATAGTCGCAGGTCGTGACGGCGTCTCATCCTAATGACCTATTGAGTTCCATGTGTAACATTAGAGAGATTGCACTAATGACCGCATTAGACGCAGTGTACTGCAGGTACAAGTTTGACGATTGCATCTCACTACAACACCACTGCCGCTGCACCTACCTCGTGCAGGCTCTGTATGAGTACGAAGAGTTTAGAATGTCATATTTCACGGACATGCTTTCCCCGGATGTTGGACCGCGGAATGACAGCCGCCCAGCGGACACGCAGATATCTCGTCGTACCTCTGTATGCAAGCACCACGATGAGTTCATCGAGCCGCGGCAACACGATAACGAGGAACAATGGCACGGCTTGATCGGATTTGAATCGTCCAAAGAGCACAGTCGAGCTGAGAATCGCCCAGCACACATCGAGGCACAGTGTACAGAGTGCGCACCAGAGGTGAAAGATGGGGACGACAAAAACCAAACGGCGCTACCACAAAGAACACCAGACTCATATCGAGCAGGTACATCGTCCCCTTACGCGGGCGGGACAGGCATAACACCGCGAGGTGAATTTCGCGACGTGCTGGAGAGGCCCAAATGTTCCCGCCCTCGAGACACAGCCGCCAAGCCTAACCCGCGCGTCTTTGAAGAGAAAGATCAAGCTCCTCGCCGTGGAGTACAAGCAAAAACGACATCGTACCGTAGCAAGTGGCTAGCGATCCCAACGAGACGGGTTTGGGACACGGCGCGTCACACCACAGGTAGAGTTGAATCAGGAGTCCATCGGCGAAGCATGTTTCCCTTGTCTAGATACGAGGACAAACTGATTCAGTCGAAAGCAGACAGCGGCATAATCCCACAAAGCAGGAGACGTTCCCTACCGTCTAGCTTGTGTTGGGAGGTACAAACAGAAGAAGGCAAGGATACCGGGGACGCCTTCAGAGCAAGTGCTGGGATCCATTTTGCCGACAGTGCCCATTGTCTTACTCTCGCGCGCACAACGAACAGCGAAGAGAACAGGTTTCAGGTAGCTGCCACGAACTCAAGTCTTACATCCGATCCACGGCTCGCTAAGCAGCAAAGTCTCTCCAATGTGGCCGACTTGATGGAGAAGAACAGCGACAGTACCCTCTCCAGTCGCGCAGCGGACGCAGAATGCCGTCGTACTGCTGATACCCTAGCTCCATTTGCGGGAGAGTCTGCGCTAATCGAACAACTGATTGCCGATTATACCTCACTCTTCGACAGTCCCTTCGATCCGGATGTTGTGGACATGCGGTACGAGCGACCACGAGCTGTTCCTGCCGTCCCCAAGAGAGATTCGCTGGATTCTACAAAGCAGCGAGACAGCATCTCAACAAGAGCTATAACCAACTCCAAGCCGGTTTCGAGGAACTTCCGAAAACTTCGTTTGGATATTCAGCACTCTACTCGATCCACTTGCAAGACACAACAACACCAGGAGAGTCCAGACTGGGCCTGCCGAACATCCCTGGCCATCGAAGCTGGAACGATTTCGATGGACAATGTATACATGCATAGACGGGATTCGACACCGAGACACATACTAGACGCTATGCGTAGCCCAGTCAAAATCTGTCTACCAGACGGTAGGAGAGTGCAGAGCTTCGGACCAGGAGGGAGGGAGGCGGTCTACCTAGCGCCTTCAAGTAAGCACAGCTCGGCCCATCCTGCGGCCAGTAGGCATTCGGAAGGCGCCTTGCAGTTTGTGCGAGGAGCAAATGCCGCTCGTTTCATGGGAAAACTTGAGGCAATGGAAGTCGCAATCGGGAGAGAGCCGCTGACATATCACTGTATGCAGGTGGCTTCACCAGTAGACTTGAACAAGAGCCTGCCTGCCTTGCCTCTGCACGTGTACGGGCAGCAGGGCAAGAAATAGACTGGGTCTCAATAAAGCAACCTAGGCGAGCTTCTACCAAGCTTGGAATATTCGATAGCTTGGTCATCGACTTGCATGCGTTCGAGGCAGATGAACCCATCAGGATGACGTGCAGTGAACTACTCAGGATAGCAACAGACAGTTTAAAATAACCCCATAAGCCACTGGTGACGCTATCTCACACAATACACGCTTCTCCTCAGCTATTTACAGCTTACGTGTCTTACCAGCCTTCTTAGGCGCGGCTTCCTCAGCTTTCGGAGTTGTAGCTTCCTCTTTCCACGCTCCTTCACGATCCCACAAGCACATGCCTCTAACCTTCTTTGGTGGTCAGAGTACTATCCCTCCATGTGTGGAGGAAAAACCTGTGTGCCGGCATGCCGATCGTGCTCCCCACCACAACAAACCAAAACATGGCTGAGAGGTGTCAAAAATCTCGGGATAGAGAACTTAACCCTTGAGCTTTTTCTGTACTGCGTCTCTTCGTCAATAGATTCCTGCTTGGCTAGCAATACTACGATACGCTGCTGCCACGTACGACAGGCCTGCCTCGGACTGCCTCGGACGCGCCAAAGGCTGAACGCATGCATCTAAGAGTCTGTCAAGCTGTGCAAAGACATGGAAAGAGTGTATTCCGAACGAAGTGCTGCGACATCCTAGGTCGTGGCGCTGTTGTGCAAGTCTATCGCTATATAGAGCAGGATCGACAACTAAGGCGCGCTCCCCGCGGGTCGTACAGAAATGCCGCAAGTGGCTTAGCGGTATTCTATGCGCGCTGATCTCAGACCCGTGTCTCGCGTGACTCAGATAGAGACCACCCGCCTAGCGGCTAAGGCCAAGCATGACTCGCTCGTGCTCGGATACATGCTGAGACGCCGCACTGGACTCCACGCACGCCTGTTTTTAGAATGGATAATTATTCGTAGTAACATTACAGGTAGAGGCTTATATACAGTTCTGTAACAGCGTCGAAATTAACTCAAGGTAATTAATTAGTACAGATATAACATTCATCCCTGCGTTGCGGGACGCCCCGTGTGCCGGGACACTTTTTCTTCCGGACCTTCGGCGTCGGGCTAGTGCGGCTACACTAAGTCAAGTTCAACGCGCATCGATCCTGTAGTTGCTACTCTTCTAGCCTGTAAACTTCCGATGAAGAAGAGCGTAGTGTTGGACATGCTGCAGGCCGATCTGTCATTGCCATTGATCGACCTCCTCGCAATACCCCCCTGTCCACTTGCAACAACCAATCTCTGTCAACCGCTCGTATGTCTAGCAAGAGAGACTAGGTCTTGAAGATCTAGATCACTGTCTATAAAGATCGATTTAAGCTGAGCAGTGTGCCTTCCAGTAGTTTCTCCGCGCAGATGGCAAGATCGCCAAAACGTCTGCACAGGCATAGCGCTATCGCCGCTCTTGACTTGCAGTAGCGTGCTCAGATGTCTTTTTATCGTATCGTGCAGAAATGCGCGCTTTACCTACCTAGGATTAGCCCCCAAAAGTCGCCTTGTAGCAAGTCCACTGCCACGCGCCCAGGTTCGCTGCGCCACAAGACTGCCATGCGCGCATGAAGCTTGCGGCTAAGCACAGCTGAACTCTCGCAGCCATGCAGCCTTACATGCTCGTCAACTACCTGCTCGCAGCCTGCCTAATGTGCTCCACGTGTATGCGCAACGGAGACGTCTCCTACTGACCTGCACCACTTACCTCTGGCCGTTTGTGCCTCACACCACGACCGAGCCTGTTAGCATCCTAGACAGAGCATGCCGGAACACAATGCGCCTTCTCAAGCGTCTCTCAGCAGGCGACGGCTTCGAGCTGACGTCTTTCAGCGACGACCATGCTCCTCCGTACGCCATTCTCTCGCACACCTGGAAGGACGGCCAAGAAGTTACATACAATGAGCTGTTGGCGGGAACAGGCGCAGACAAGCGCGGCTATGCTAAGATCCGCTTCTGCGGCGAGCGAGCTGCAGCAGACGGCCTCGAGTACTTCTGGGTGGATACCTGCTGCATCGACAAGTCCAAGAGCGACGAGCTGAGCACAGCGATCAACTCCATGTTTCGCTGGTACCAGCGCGCAGTCAAGTGCTATGTATACCTGACAGACGTCCTGAGTGCCAGATGAGATTACCAATGCCGAAGCCTTTCGCATATCGTGGCAGCAAGCTTTTCAGAGCAGCCGGTGGTTTACCGGGCTGGACGCTGCAAAGCTACTCGCGCCAGCTAGCGTCGAGTTCTTCTCCCAGGACGGCAAGCGGCTAGGCAGTAGGATCTCGCTAGAGCAGGAGATACCAGCATTACTAACATACCTATCGATGCGCTCAGAGGCCAAAGGCTTACCGGGTTCAGCGTCGAGGAGCGAATGGGCTGGGCGGCGAAACGTACAACGACGGTGAAAGAGGACAGAGTGTACTGTTTGCTCGGCATCTTCGGGGTCTTCCTGCCGCTCATATATGGTGAAGGAGAAGAGTATGCGACGCTGCGTCTCCAAGATGAGATACAGAAGCGGCAGCAAGGACGGGAGACTGTAGATGTGCAAGACCTGTCCGGTGTGTATTAAGCATGGCTCGGATAGCCTCGCAATGCACAGACCGCACTTAGCTAATGACCTGTAGTCTCGGTATCGCTGCCTTTCCCACGAAACGAGCTCTTCGTCGGACGAGAGAGCCAGCTCCAGTTGATCGAAGGAGCCCTCCTCTCACCTAACACCCACCGACGGATGACTATATATGGACTAGGAGGATGTGGAAAATCCGCGCTTGCTCTTGAGTTTGCGTATCGCGCACTTGCAGGACACGCTAGACGCTTAGTTTTCTGGGTGCCAGCCATAAGTCCTGAGAGTTTCAAGCTTGCGTATCGGGAGATTGGAGTCCGTCTTCGTATACCAGGGATCAGCGATGACAACGCGGACACGAAGCGACTTGTCAAGGAGACGTTAAGCCTGGGAAATGTAGGCGACTGGCTAATGGTCGTTGATAACGTCGATGACTCTCAGGTCTTGCTGGGAGTGGACGATGAAAGCCACGGGTCCGCTCGATTGATCGACTATATTCCGCACAGCAATAGAGGCGCAATTCTTTTCACCACTCGCAGTAGGAAGGCGGCTACGGACTTGACTCAGGGTAATGTCCTCGAGCTAAACGACATGGGCAAGGCTGAGGCCAGGCAGCTGCTGGCGCGACGAACGACGAGACAAGTATTGCTGAACGATGAGGCGGCGGTTGGCGTATTGCTGGAGTCACTCGCAGGCCTGCCGCTTGCTATCGTACAGGCAGCCGCTTTCATGAACCAAAACGATACACCGGTCTCCGAGTACGTATCGCTGCTCCAGCATGCTGGCACGAAAGCTGAGCTCTTCAGCGAGCACTTCGAAGATTCTAGCAGATACCGCAGTATGGATAGCACGATTGCAAAGACATGGCACATCTCTTTTGAGCAAATTCGCAGGGAAGACCCTCTTGCAGCAGATTACCTCTCGTTCATTGCATGCATCGATCGTATCAACATTCCCCAGTCACTGTTGCTGTCGGGAGGATCCATTTTACAGCAGACGAAAGCACTCGGAACGCTGACGGGATACGCATTCATCACAGAACGCCAGCAGACTGTGCCAGGATCCAGCAAAGAGAAGCTTTTTGACATGCACCGACTAGTGCACATGGCCTTGATCTGGTGGCTGGAAGGCCACGGTGAGCGGGCGGACTGGGCAGGCACAGCAGCAGCCCGAGTTAAGGAACTAGTGCCGTACGGTGGGCATGAAGGAAAAGAAGTATGGAGCGTGTATCTTCCACATGCGACGTACGTGGCTGGACTGGTTGAAGCTGTAGATAGTGCGATGAGTGCTTCGCTCCTAGAACGACTAGGCAGTTGTCAAGAGAGTCTGGGGCAATATGCATCAGCAGAGATGTCGCATCGAAAAGCATCGTTCTTGAGGAAGGAGGTGCTGGGGCCTGAGCATCCCTCTACGCTGACAAGCATGAACAACTTGGCGTCGGTGCTTGACAGCCAGGGCAAGTACGAAGAAGCCGAGGCGATGAACCGGCAGACGCTGGCGCGGAGTGAGAAGGTGCTCGGGCTTGAGCATCCAGACACGCTGACGAGCATGAGCAACTTGGCGTTAGTGCTTACCAGGCAGGGCAAGTACGAAGAAGCCGAGGCGATGAACCGGCAGGAGCTAGCGATATGTGAGAAGGTGCTGGGGCATGAGCATCCATCCACGCTGACGAGCATAAACAACTTGGCGTCGGTGCTGGACAGCCAGGGCAAGTACGAAGAAGCCGAGGCGATGAACCGGCAGGAGCTAGCGATATGTGAGAAGGTGCTGGGGCATGAGCATCCATCCACGCTGACGAGCATGAGCAACTTGGCGTCGGTGCTTACCAGGCAGGGCAAGTACGAAGAAGCCGAGGCGATGAACCGGCAGACGCTGGCGCGGAGGGAGAAGGTGCTGGGGCATGAGCATCCATCCACGCTGACGAGCATGAGCAACTTGGCGTCGGTGCTTACCAGGCAGGGCAAGTACGAAGAAGCCGAGGCGATGAACCGGCAGACGCTGGCGCGGAGGGAGAAGGTGCTGGGGCATGAGCATCCTTCCACGCTGACGAGCATGAACAACTTGGCGAACGTGCTCAACAGCCAGGGCAAGTACGAAGAGGCGGAGGCAATGCACAGACAGACGCTGGCGCGGAGGAAGAAAGTGCTGGGGCATGAGCATCCATCCACGCTGACGAGCATGAACAACTTGGCGGGAGTGCTGGACAGCCAGGGCAAGTACGAAGAAGCCGAGGCGATGAACCGGCAGACGCTGGCGCGGAGGGAGAAGGTGCTGGGGCATGAGCATCCATCTATGCTGATGAGCATGAGCAACTTGGCGTCGGTGCTTACCAGGCAGGGCAAGTACGAAGAAGCCGAGGCGATGAACCGGCAGACGCTGGCGCGGAGGGAGAAGGTGCTCGGGCATAAGCATCCAGACACATTGGCGAGCGTACAGTGCTTAGCGAATGCGGCTTCACCCTGAATGCAATTGCGACAAAAGCTTATGCCACACAACATCCCACCTCTCAGATTCGGCATAGCATTAAGTCTATTAGCACACATGTGATAAGTAGTAATTATGAAGCTTTGGCGGAACACGATAAGTTACTACAAGTACCAAGCTGTATAATCGTGCCGAATTAACATAGCTCGACGCTTAGTAACTTCGACCGCTTCCGCCTTCACAAACAGTAAGCGGTGCGGATCGCCACCATGTCTGAAAAGATTTTCGTCGACGGCTGCTGAAGCCTTGTAACGGTCGCCCGCTTGGATATGCTGGAGTTGAATTGCGATCGCGTACGCCGCCCCGCCGAGCTCGAGCTCACAGTCCAGAAGTGCACAGCTAACACTGGTCTCAAGGCTGCGGCGTGCTTCATCATGGTCACTGTTAGTTGTGCCATTACCATCCTTGACGCCGCTGCTTGTGCTGTTATGGTCAAGTCCACTGTTTCCCTCCAAGCCAATGTTCTCGCATGACCGATTCTCGTTTTCCTCATCAACGCCATGTTCATCGTGCTCCTCGGTTTTTGAAGCCTGGCCCAGAGTAGGGTTATTGCTTTCTTCTAAACCTGTGCTGAAAAGTCGCACAGCTGTGCGTCGTACAGTAGAGGCATCCAGGCAGCGAAGCGAGATCTGAAGCCCTGCATTTGTGAGCTCAAAGCTTTCTGGAAACTCCATCGACCCTGTGATGGATGGCTCGTTGATAGAAAGTGCTGTCTTTATTGCATTCCTTTTGAAGGATCTCCACCAACCGAAGTGCACTGGGTCTGGAGCCAACAGCATGTCCTTATATATTATTGTGTCACTCCACGCAGGAACATTACATTCCCACGCAAGAATTGTCTGGTCAACGTTGACCTTCATTATCGCATCTTGCAATCGACTGAACGCCCGTTCGCCTTCACCGTACAGTAAAGGAAGATTCACACCAAAGATACCAAGTAGGCTGTACGCAATATCTTCGCTGCGTGTAGTTTGCCTTGAACTAGCCCAAGACATCTTCTCCACGACGGAAAGCTGCCGCAGACGCTTTTGCAAATCCTTCACAGGGTCTTTATAACATTCGAAGAAGATCTCTTCACGGTTGAAAAGTCCTCTCGCGATTCCAGTAATATCATGAAGTGTATGCTGAATCTCGGAGCGGTCGTAAAGAGTGACCCAATTTTTGTCAAAAAAAGTCATGCGTTCAGGAGCGATGAGCTCTTGCAATGTCCATCCGCGAGTAAGCCACTTGCAGGACCGCAGCTGTGCAATCATGCATGTACTCATACCAGACGCTCTCTTCTCCTCCCTCGGTGTCTTAGCTGCGAGACACCATGAAAGCCACTCGTCCTTGCGAGTACGGCGCGGACAGTCGACGCAATCTTCAAGATACACGTAACAAACGCTGGATCTTGCGTACCATTCGAACATAGAGTTGATCGCTTCGGAGAGTTCTGCACTGCTGGATTTGTCAATGCAGCAAGTGTCGATCCAGATGTATCGATACCCGTCCTTGCAGGCGCGTAGACAAGCGTTTGCAACTTTATTCCATCCAGTTTTTGGGCGACCACAGAGCTTCGGCGCTAGCATGCTCGAGTGGCCAGATTTCTTGAGCTTGCATTCTTCGCAAATGGCGCTCCTTTTCAATTGGTGAAAGGCCAGCAGTCTCTGACGCAAAGTGAGTTCTGCCTGATATGGTGTTGGTGTTTCGTGGAGGTCATAGTCTGGTCCCAGTGCGATGTCTTGGAATAGAACTTCTTCTGAATTCCATGTGTGGGAGAGGATAGCGTATGGCGGCGCGTATGACGTATTGTACTCAATCAGGCGAGCCACGCCACCGTAGACGAGACAGTCGACGTCGAGTAAACGCATCCCGTGATACTCGAAGGAATCCCTCGTTAAGCAGAGCCAGGGATATGATGATAAGCTAGTTCAGACGATTATCCAAAGTTTATGAGGGTGAGAAGCACTGTGGAGGGTTTCAAGAACCTTGCATGGAACGCCCCGTGCACTTACAGACGCGGGGTAGGTCAACTTGGCTGCTGCCTAGCCTAAAGTGGCTAGGTCTGATGGCATGACATGGGATCTTGGCGGGGTAAAACTACTCTTGCAACCGTGTTCAAGGTGAAGCTGATTTCGCTAACGACTGTATACTGTCTTGCTGACGTCCTCACATATCAGCAACGCTACAGCGAATCTCTTACTTTGTACGAGAGAGCATGTGCTGGGTACCAAGCTGTACTTGGGAAAGATCACCCTACCACGCGTGCGTGTCGACAGCATTACGCTGACGTGCTTGCATCGCACGAGCAGCACCAGTTTGCTGTTTCTCCAACGATAGCAGGTAGCACCCAAAGTACACGCACAGGCAAAGCGTCGAAGCTGCTACGCGGGCTAGCAAAGATAGGCATTAGAAGCCCAAAGTCGTCTGCAAGATGAGAATGAAAGATCCTGTATATCTATAGTAACTACTCTAAGCTCATATTAACGCTGCTGTAGGACTCTATATAAGTCTCCACCTCTACTACTATCTACTCCCTAAACATGCGTACGTGGAGTCTGGTGCCGCATTCAAGCGTGTATTCGAGCACAAGCGAGTCATGCTTAGCCTTACCTGCTAGTCGCTAGCCGGGTGGCTCTGTCATAGCCACGTTCGCGGCGGGACAAGGGTCTGACATCAGCGCGGGTAGAATACCGCTAAGCCACTTGCGGCATTTCTGTACGACTCGCAGCTAGCGCGCCTTAGTTGTCGATCCTGCTCTGTAGAGGAACAGGCTTGCGCAACAGCGCCACAACCTAGAATGCTGTAGTACCCCGCTCGGGATACACTCTTTACATGTCTTTGCGTAGCTTGACAGACTCTTAGATGCATGCGTTCAGCCTTTGGCGCGTCCGAGGCAGTCCGAGGCAGGCCTGTCGTACGTGGCAGCAGCGTATCGTAGTATTGCTAGCCAAGCAGGAATCTATTGACGAAGAGACGCAGTACAGAAAAAGCTCAAGGGTTAAGTTCTCTATCCCGAGATTTTTGACACCTCTCAGCCATGTTTTGGTTTGTTGTGGTGGGGAGCACGATCGGCATGCCGGCACACAGGTTTTTCCCCCACACATGGAGGGATAGTACAGCTTCACCGTGATTCTCCGGACACTGTTGTAGATCAAGAGACTTGGCACACGTCTTATGCCTCTTCTTGCTGCTTGTAACTTTCCCGTGATCGCTGCTGCTGCGCCAAGTTAGCTTGTTTTGAAGGAGGTACAACAGAGCGATTGACTAAGCTTCCGTGATCGCTTCCATCTCACGTAAGTTCTGCTGTTTCGACCCGCGCACTGCTTTCTTAAAGTGATGCATGGTAAGTGCACAAACAAAGCTCGGGCCAAGGTGGTCTTGCTGATGAGTTTCTGCATTAACTCGGGTTCACTAGCTTTCACCCTCGTGATCTAAGCAGTATTGGTGGATAAAGAAGCTTTCATTCGTTGCTGGAGCGCGGCTTGTACTTGCTGCCCCCGACGCCACGACAAGTAAGCGTGTGGAGTAGACAAAGGATACTATTTATGGGTAGTCTCTCCCGTTCCTGTCCTCGCCACCCACTGCCTCCTTCATTGCTCAATTCCTACGCTATCGAGCTGACCCGTGTTCCTCGCGGCATTGTGTGCTCCGCCGTTTGTCAATGGAAAGTGACAGGGAATTTCGTCTGGACTGCCCGTGTCGAAGGAGAGGGTTGCGGGTCGAAAGTAGTTCTCTTGGCCGTGTCGACAAATGGATCGAATCATAGGCATCGACCATTCTCACAGCGTCCTTGGCACCATTGCCCGAAAGTGTTGGTGCCGCATGTAAGAGTGATGTTCTTCTTGGCACCAGTCCATGGTTGTGGATAGGTAGTACAATAATAACCTTCGCATGTCGTAGAGGGTACGGGGAGCGTGCGCTCAGGAGGAGTAAGCGGAGATGAGAGGATAAGATGTGGAACAGTGAGTACGCTTATGATAGTTGTGAGCCAAACCATGTTGATTGAAATGGTACGAAGTGACGTGTATATGGATGTGTTTCGGGCAGATGCGCGTGACGGGAAGGGTAATGGATAATTCAAAGCGGGTGGTTTGCGGAAGTGAGCGTGTGCGGCATGAACTTATTTAAGTCTTTCGCCGGGCGCAGAGTGGATGGATTTCTTCGCCTAGACACAGTGGATACCGAGGGCAGCAACAGTAGTAAGCGGTGCTTACGACGAGTGGAAGGAGGTAATGACAATAGGAGAAGGATGCACACGAAGGTTCAGTGCGCCGTCAGCGCTGCTGCACCATCTGGAAAGTGGGAAGTGCTGCTCAGCTATGGACCGAGATGTCATCTACGACATCATCCAGTTGTACGACAAGGATTGTACGATTCACAGCCTTCCCACACTCACACCCTCGAGCTCTACCCATCTCCCATCACATCGTCTATCTCCTGATCCCGGGACGCCGACAGCGTCTCTTGATAGTTCAGGTGGCTGGTCCTGGATCACTCCCACGCACTCTCGGGGTAGTGAGGAGGATAGTTTGGTAGATTCGACACCGCTTGAGGACAGCTCTTCCTCGCTCGGAAGGAGACGCGTGGTCGACGAAATTGAACCCGAACTCTGTTGCTCCCTTTGTCCAAGGAAGCGCACAGCCTTTGCTACAATGCAGGCGCTTCAACAGCATATGCTCTCTCCAGCACACTGCGATAAGGTATACCACTGCCCGAGTGATCTCCCCCCAATAGACTCAAACAGGATCGACACAAAGCGAGGAAAGCGAAAGCGACTTACAACTCTGAGTGGATTGGCTCAACATCTAGAGAGCGGGGCATGCCACGGTGGCAAACAGACGTTTTTGCATTGTGTTGATATTATTCAATTGCATCTGGGGCAATGGGGACTTGAGGAGATGCGCCTTTTGTTGCCAGGCTCCCAAGATTGAGAAAAAGCGAGGTTGTTCATTGCAGATTCGTAGGAATAGCCGAGAAATACGCAACCGACATGTGTTCTTTGTGCTTCCACCGACCCAACAGTTCCTCGCACCCGCTAAGCAGATGTTTCACCGTATCTCTAACGTGTTCCATTGGCAAGTAGCCCACCCCAACAAACTCAACAAGTAGCGCGTGACGTATGACAGGCGCAGCGCGCTATGGAAAGAACGCGCAGGCAGCCCAGCCTTAACAAACCAGCCTTTTGCACGAGAGATGCTGTGTCTCTCTGTGGAACCTGCACCAAATCTTATCGCTGTTACCAGGCGATGGGTCACCCTAGAATGATGCTTACTTTCACAGCCCGAGGGAGCAAGTCGACTACGCGCCTCCCGTGCACGGGTTAAAAAGGATCTGACTCTTCTTGTGGTACGTGCGTGTCCTACGGAGGGGAGTTTGTAGCAGGAGCAGTCGCCTTGCGACGCGAGCGTGGCCAAACTGCCTCCGCAGTTCCCGTTCAACGGCCCAACACAGGACCTAGATGCGCGGGATGGCGATAGGGTCAGCCTAAGTCCAGCCTCGAACACCAAACTAACCTCCCTCCCTGCGGGTAGAACATCCCACCGCGCAGAACCATGAAAATCACCAAGCAACACCACTCTTCAACCCACCGTCCTATAAAGCTCAAACAAGCACAGTGATATACCTCAGTAAAAGTACAATCTGTTACTAAGGTTGAACAGCAAAATTACAGCGGTCTTGCGCATACTTACCGACATACTCGCCACTGCTGGAAGCTGCGACAACGATGCACCCCTGTTCTCTTGTCGGACCCTACGATCACCGCTACTTCGGAGGCTCCAGAGTACGACTCACTGTGTCAAAGTGTGCCTTGCAAAGTGCGAAGACCTGCAGCGACCGAGAACATCTACTCCGGATTTATCCACGGACACGTGCAGGCCTCCTCACTTGAGCAAGGATTCTCCGCGCGCTGAGAAAGCGCGTACTTTACACTAAGCGGCCTGCATTGTACGCATGCGCTATGCCTAAGACGCTCTAGCTATGGCACATGCTTCTGGAAGCTTCTCTGCACGCACGCTGCGCCTTCTGGCTATTCTTAGAACTCGAAGGTGAGCAAGGCGAGGGTGACGCCCTCGTCGGCTTCTTGCTCAAGCCCACCCTCCTCCCTCCACATACGCCGACATGGACCCAGCCAGCCGAGCGCTGGTGCTGGCCTTGCCTGCAGGCGTGCCTGATACGTATGCTGCTCGATCAGAACACAGCAATGTCCCTGTCTCTACACTCATCCATCGCCGCAACGGACGACGCTCGCGGGAGGAGCAGGCTCAGCGCCAGCAGTACCTCAGTCGAGAGGAGGAGAAAGCTCTGGTACAATTCTTGCTGCTAATGTCTAACCTTGGCCACCCAGTGCGAATCAAGTTCATACGCTTCCTAGCTTGTAGTATAGCTCGTCAGCGGTCCACGAAGACGCAACCGATCAAGCCCCCGGGCAAGAATTGGCCGAAAGCCTTCGCGGAGCGTCACCCAGAGCTACAAGCGAGAAAAGTCAAGTCGATAGATTGGAAACGTCACGAGAACAACGTATATGGCAAGATAGTCGAATGGTTCGATATAATCGGACAGGTGCTGCAGGACCCGGCTGTCTTGCCAGAGAACGTGTACAACATGGACGAGACGGGCGTCATGCTAAGCATGCTTGGCTCGGTCAAGGCCCTGGTAGGTAAGGATGATCGGCGGAACTGTAGAGGTGGAGGCGTAAAGTGGACGATGGTCACCGCGGTCGAATGCGTGCGTGCAGATGGTAGGGCGCTGCTGCTACTCATTATATGGCCCGCTTCAACTCATCGCAGCAATTGGACTACCCACAAGACTCCGGGATGGCACTATAGATTCTCTAACAACGGATACAACGACTCTAAGATTAGCTTGCAGTGGCTCATGGCTTTGGAAGCTATAAAACACTCGAGATTCTGGAGTTCTGTCTTACTAACAACATCATCCTGTGTCGTCTGCCCTCCCACACATCTCATAAGTTACAGCCCTGCGATGTCGGACCTTTCGCACCCTTGAAGACAGCATACCGAGATGAAACCCTGAAGTGAGAGCAAGTGTGATGATATTCTATCTATGCCCCAGGCTCTATATATATATATATATTTAGTCAACTGGTGTGCCGTCGCACCATTGTATGAGGAGGTTGTCACACCAGTGTTTGGTTATGCATACCACGTGATCTGGAATCCAACTTACCGTGATCAGGTCGAACGACTTAACCAGGGAGGCATAGATATAGTCGGCAAAGAACATTTTACCTATCCGTACAGTCCTGCTAGAGATACAGCATTTACTAAAAGGAACATCAGAACTGGATGGGCTGCGACCGGTCTGTACCCTTTCAATCCGGAAAGAGTGCTGAAAGATATCCCGAGACCTCCAGTTGAAGTCGTCATTCCAGGAGCTGCCATTATAGACACCAGTACGTCGGATGTAATGCTTCAAACACCCATCACACCGGTGACGCCGGTGACAGCGGAAGCGCTTACGTCGTTGCATAACGTGATTAAGCAAGACACCAACGTGCCTGACGAGACAAGAAGTCGCATACAGAAACTCGCAAATGCTGCTCATATCTCGTTCGCTGAGCGAGCCATCTTGAAGGACCGCAACCGTTTTCTTTTCAAAATCAACAACGAAGCTAAGGCTCGTAGGTCGACCAGGTCCATCGTGCTAGGAAAGGCAAAAATAATGAGTTTTGAGGACCTAGAAGAGGCGAAGGTAAGGCGTGCGGCAAAGGACGAAGCTGCAGCACAGAAGGGACAGCGTGGCCGCAAGCGCAAGGAACCGGCATCGGAAGCTCCACCGCCATCGAGTAAAACAGCGCGAACTAGCGAGATGTTAGCATCGGACAACAGTCCAGCGACCTCATAGAGAATCCCGGTTGCGAAGATGTACTAGAACTCTACATGGTTCAGATATATGTTTGTCAGAAATCTTCCAGACATGCAAGTTGAGTGTTCAGGACTTTGCGATTGAGTGAAGTACTCTGCAGCTCTTGAGACCTTTTTCAAGATTTACGACATGTATAGATCTTTGTCGAGTCGCAATGGCTATGCTTACGTGTATCCCTAGACCCTGTACCTGAAATACAGTCTTTGAAGCGCCTGACCGCCTGAGGCATGTTCAAGCGTTGCATCAAGAAACACTACCGAAAATACTCGATATAGGAATGTTGCAAGAGAAAGAATAGAATTTATTCTTGATGAGAAGTCATATAGCGTAACCAGCCTTCCGACGCTAGCCGGTCGGGGTGAGTCTCTACGAGCGTATCGTCTTGCACCTTGACTACGTGCTCCAGCAGCCTCACAGCGTCCTCGATCTGTCCGTTCGCCCAGTAGGAAACACCAAGCGCATGCTGCGACGCTAACCGATCGGGGTGAGTCTCTGCGAGCGTAGCGTCTCACACCTTAACCACGTGCTCTAGCAGCCTCACAGCGTCCTCGATCTGTCCGTTCGCCTGGTAGGAAACACTAAGCGCATGCTGCGACTGTAGCCGAGAAGGGTGAGTCTCTGCGAGCGTATCGTTGCGCACCTTGACTACGTGCTCCAGCAGCCTCACAGCGTTCTCGATCTGTCCATTCGCCCAGTAGGAAACACCAAGCGCATGCTGCGACGCTAACCGATCGGGGTGAGTCTCTGCGAGCGTAGCGTCTCGCACCTTAACCACGTGCTCTAGCAGCCTCACAGCGTCCTCGATCTGTCCGTTCGCCTGGTAGGAAACACTAAGCGCATGCTGCGACTGTAGCCGAGAAGGGTGAGTCTCTGCGAGCGTATCGTTGCGCACCTTGACTACATGCTCCAGCAGCCTCACAGCGTCCTCGATCTGTCCGTTCGCCTGGTAGGAAACACCAAGCTGATGCTGTGACGCTAGCCGATCTGGGTGAGTCTCTGCGAGCGTATCGTCGCGCACCTTGACTACATGCTCCAGCAGCCTCACAGCGTCCTCGATCTGTCCATTCGTCTGGTAGGAAACACCAAGCGCATGCTGCGACGCTAACCGATCGGGGTGAGTCTCTGCGAGCGTAGCGTCTCGCACCTTAACCACGTGCTCTAGCAGCCCCACAGCGTCTTCGATCTGTCCGTTCGCCTGGTAGGAAACGCTAAGCGCATGCTGCGACGCTAATCGATCGGGGTGAGTCTCTGCAAGTGTATCACCTTCCACCTTGACTACATGCTCTAGCAGCCTCACAGCGTTCTCGATCTGTCCGTTCGCCTGGTAGGAAACGCTAAGCGCATGCTGCGACGCTAACCGATCGGGGTGAGTCTCTGCGAGCGTAGCGTCTCGCACCTTGACCACGTGCTCTAGCAGCCTCACAGCGTCTTCGATCTGTCCATTCGCCCAGTAGGAAACGCTAAGCGCATGCTGCGACTGTAGCCGAGAAGGGTGAGTCTCTGCAAGTGTCTCACCTTCCACCTTGACTACGTGCTCTAGCAGCCTCACAGCGTCCTCGATCTGTCCATTCGCCTGGTAGGAAACACTAAGCGCATGCTGCGACTGTAGCCGAGAAGGGTGAGTCTCTGCGAGCGTATCGTCGCGCACCTTGACTACATGCTCCAGCAGCCTCACAGCGTCCTCGATCTGTCCATTCGTCTGGTAGGAAACACCAAGCGCATGCTGCGACGCTAACCGATCGGGGTGAGTCTCTGCGAGCGTAGCGTCTCGCACCTTAACCACGTGCTCTAGCAGCCCCACAGCGTCTTCGATCTGTCCGTTCGCCCAGTAGGAAACACCAAGCGCATGCTGCGACGCTAACCGATCGGGGTGAGTCTCTGCGAGCGTATCGTCGCGCACCTTGACTACATGCTCCAGCAGCCTCACAGCGTCCTCGATCTGTCCATTCGCCTCGTAGGAAACACCAAGCGCATGCTGCGACTGTAGCCGATCTGGATCATCTTCGTCCAGCCCCTTTCTGCAACGATAGCACTCCTCCAGCCATCTCACAGCTTCTGGAACTCTACCGTCGAAAGCTAGGCATCGTCCTACCCACAAACTCAGCTTGGCTCTGCTTTGAGCATCAACAGATATTTTTGTGTCAAGCAGTCGCAGTGCATGTGGCATGTATGCTCTCCATACGGCCTGATTGGCAAAGTCGTCGCTCGGAAAAACCTCGGCAATATGTGCCACAGCCTGCCGCACCACATCTGCAGTACTGCCATACTTGTCTACCCAGACTCTGGTAGCTAGATGCACAAGTCGATGCAGGTCGTACCATTCTTCTCCTCCATCTACCGCACCAGTGTTGTCGCCTTCCCGCCTTGACACAAAAGAGTACCCGCAGAGCGTGCCGATAGCCTCTTCTAATCGCTCTTGCGACCGCACCTTCGGTAGCAGCGACTGCGGTATTGCCTTCCACTCGATGCACGACATGAACGCTAGCAGATCTGCTGCCACCGCATCGCGCTCTCGAAGCTGACTGAACGACACTACCCACGTCGAGGCCACTGCGTTCGCTGAGTCCTTGTAGCGTGTTTGGTCGCGGAACTCTTTGCTCATCAGACTGATAGTGTCTTGCTCTGTGTGTCTCAGCAACCGAAGATACCTTGTAGTAGTTGTTCTGTTCATGTTCAGGTACGCGGCAGCCTGGGCGATGGCCAAAGGGAGGCACGCTAACTCGTCTAATAGCTCTTCCATCTCTTCGCGTTCCTTCGTGAGGTTTTTTTTAATCAAAGACTTCTCCAAGAAGTTCGTGGCATCTAGTCTGCTCATAGACCCCAGCTCTAGAACGTCACCTCGTGTCAACGACACGGCTAGCTCTTGTACCCTTGTGGTGAACACGGTCATGCCCTTGTCGCTCTCTGGTAGGTAGTCGATGATGCCCGCAGCATGCTCGGTCCCATACAAGATGTCGTGGTCATCTGCATTATCGAGCACAAGCAGCCACGGCCCAGCCTGATCCGCACTCAGATGCTCTTTCACCAGCTCTTTTGCATTATCTTCGCCCGTCTCCGCCTGACTGATGTGCAAAGCAGCAGCAACAGCCACACAAGCTTGCTCATAGCTCTCCATGCTGAGTGCAGGCATCCAGAAGATCGAAACGGCTGACATGGTCTCTCTGACTGTATATGCAAACCGCAAGGCTAGCTGTGTCTTTCCAGCCCCACCGAGTCCCACAATTGACATCTTTTGGCAGCCTGTCCCCTCCAGCAGCGTCTGATTGAGTATCTCGAGCTCTTCTCTCCTTCCGACGAAGTATCGGTTCTTCGGAAACGGTATGTAGTACGAGGGTTTGTGGACAGCTGGCAGGTCAGCGCAAACAGATCAGACACACAAAAAGTTAACTATCCGGCTGCCTTTGTACGTACCAGGTGTATAGGTGGTGATACGCCCTCTAAGGCTCCCCGCTGACGCCTGTGGCTGGGATGATTCTCGCGAGTCTTCCGCGATCGCTTTTCGTAGCCTTTTGAAAGCATTGGTCTCACCTTCGCCATAGTTGAGGAACGTGAAGACGCCAAAGATACCCAGCAACGAGTACGCCTTGTCTTCTTCGCGCGTAGTCTGACGCTCGCTCGACCAAGACAGGCGCTCCTCTACGCTGAAGGTGTCTAACAGGGCTCCTGTAAGGGCAGGGCAGGGGATGTTTGTAATCTCGTGGATGAGTTGTTTCAGGTTGTATCGGTCGCCTAGATGCGTCCAGTCTCTAGAGTAGAAGCTTACAACGCGTGGAGCAAGCAGTTCTTGGAGCGTCCAGCCCCGAGTAAACCACCGGCTTCGCCGAAATCTCCCTTCCCAAGCAGGTATTCCGGATACACGATCGATCGCTGGCTCAGCGCTGAGCACATCCGTCAGAAGAACATAGCATCGAGTCGCCTCCTGGTACCAGCGAAACATGGAGTTGATCGCATGCTGAAGCTCGACGGCATCTGCCTTGTTGATGCAACACGTATCCACCCAAAAGTGCCGTAGGCCATCCCGCTGAGCCTGTTGTGCGCAGAAGCGGATCTTGTCGAAGCCAGCCTTGTCACGTCCAAGACCTCTAGTAAACTCGTCGAAGGTGACCTCCTGACCAGGCAGCCAGGTGTGCGAGAGTATAGCGTAGGCGGGCACGTTGCCGGCGCCCATCAAGTCCTCTGTGAGCGTGATCGTGTCGTCATGTTGTATCTCGAGCAGTCGCATGTTGTGATGGAGGAGCTTCGGTCCTTGGCCGCATCAGGCTGGACAGCATGGAAGCGCGACAGCCTAACAAGCTGTTATCTCAATCGTTTGCGATCTCGCGTGCCGCCGTTAACGTTAATAGATGCAGGTATGTGCATATTCACACATGGGAAAAAGAGTAGACTGCCTCGTTTTGCTAAGCATCAGGGTGGGCTATGATGGCCGTTGACCTGTGGTTGCGCCAAGAAGAGGGTCGGCGGGCAGGACCTGACGTGGCTAAGGATAGCCTGCCTGCGCCACAGCTCAAGCCGTGTTATCATAGCAGGGGTGTACAATGCAGACCGCTAAGCGTACAAAACCCTGCTATGTAAGCGCGTCCAGTCCTTTCGTTGAAACACAGGATCCTGTCTACGAATGCGGACAAACCCGGAGTGTATGTAAATAGAGGCTGCACATTATCAAAATTCGTTTAGTCTTATTTTATGTGATAGAGCATCGTTCAAATTCTCCGAAGAGACGATTATGGCGCTTGTTAATGGTAGAGTAGGGGTGCATCGTCGTTGCAGCTTCTAACGCTAAGGACTAATTGCCCAGAAGCAAAGCCAGCAATGCTGTATTTTTTGTATTGAAGATCTACAGTAGGCGAAGACAGGTCCGGAGTGTAGTTCTAGGCTAGCTCAGTCTTTATTAGATGGTGGGGTCGAGTTGGTGGTGCTTGAACGATGTTCGTGATTCTGCGCGGCGGGATGTTCTAACCCCAGGGAGGGAGGTTACGTCACTTACCAAACCCATAATAGTAGCGCAGAAAAAACCAGAAACCGTACACCAACAGTGTCGCATATATATTTGCATCACTTCTGTCTCTGCACAACTTCGTCCAACAGGTTGTGCGTTGCGATACAGCTATCGCGTTGTGACGTAATGTTCTCTGCGACGCCGCTTTGGAAGTGTACTCGCGATTTTGCACTCAACCCGCTAACCTCAATGCAGTAGACATTTAACACCTACCAGCCCTCGCATGATTGATGCACACAAATCAATGCGCAACAATCCCACAGCGCCTGTAGCTCATGTGTATCGCGTAGATAGTTCTAGCCGTCTATAGTGTTGCGCTGTTCGATAGGCTAGTTTCACAGCTAGAAGCAGACATTAGCAACTAATTAGGCCAGCTCTACTGCTACAGACTTTATGGAAGTCACCACAGGGTACTGTACATGTCTTTTGTGTGTGTGTTGTGCTAGAGGCTGACTGGGGTAACTAGCGCAGGAGAGAATCCATGTTAGGGGTTTGATGAACGGGTGTGGTCTATTCTTCTCTAAAGT